ACAATTCACCAGCAAGCACATACAAATCTTCCAGTAGACTGTGTACCTTTCCAGCAGAAGTGGGGGGGGGGGAGTAATTTCCGCCGATTCACTCTTCCTTCTTCAGCCGCCTGTGCCATATCCAAAGGGTCCTCCCTCTGATTTTGGGGGGAAGCGGGGAGGTGGAGGAGGGAGGGTGAGGTGCAGAAGCCAAACTTTTCATGGCTAGTTAGATCTAAGCTATGGAGCAAGGGCCGCTATCTTATTGATACAGTGGGCATTTTAGGAATGAGCACCACCATGAAACGGCTGACATGCAGCAGAGGGAACAATAACAGGTTTAGAAGGTTACAAACATGTGCACTCATGTAGATGTATCCAACACTGTATTCAGATCATTCTTCCTTTGTGGATTTGTTCTCAGAAATTGGGTGTTTGGGGGGAATTGCTCCCCCCCCCATACACTAGCTGGGAATTGCTCTGTATTACAGAGCTGCAAGCTTTCACTGGTTTCAGCAGCTACAAATTTTGTTGGTCAATCAATGAGGCCTAGTTTTTGTTTGTTTGTTTTTTAAAGGAACTTTGAGGCACGGAGTCTATAGATTCCAAGCACAGACAAGGATTTGGGAGGCTGTTTGGGCTCTGATGTGCTACTACTGGAAGAAATAGTTAAGGATATGAATGATATGATATCTTTTCCTTGTCATGCTGAGTGGTAGACCATGAGTGGTACCTTTTGCATGTAAGGCTGGTGCTCTGCCCCTCAGACACAATGCTTCCCCTTGATCATGAACACACGAAGCTGCTGTTTGTTAAGAGAGTGGACTCTGATCTGGGAGCACCAGGTTTGATTCCACACTCCTCCACATGCAGCTGCTGGTGTGACCTTGGGTCAGTCATAAGTTCTTTCAGAGCTGTTCTCTCATGAGGAGTTCTCAAAAGAGCTCTCTCAGCCCCACTCACCTTACAGGATATATGTTGTGGGGAGGGGAAGGCCACTCTGAGACTCCATTGGGTAATGAAGGGTGGGGTATAAATCCAATCTCTTCTTCTTCTTCTAATTATACTGAGTTGACTCACTGGGATAACAAGGTCCGTGTGGTGCACTCTGATGGGCAGTGGCTGTTGACGTCTCCTACTGCTGCTTCCTTTTGACTACAGGTGATGGTAGTAGTTTAAATTCTATGTTGTGTATGTTTGTAAACTAAAATGTATTTTTTTTTAATGGAGGCTTGCTCACAACTTTAATCTGAGTAGGACTTTTGGCTCACAACTTAGACCTTCAGAGGCCAGGTGTACCAATGTAGTAGACTGGGGCAGGTAGACCTGTTCTCCGGAGGAGTTGGTGAAATCTGACTTGATTCTCTCTTATAATGTCTAAATTATTCTTAATATATAGTTTAAATATACTTTAAAAGAATTCATTCTGAGATTTTCACAAGGTTAATTCTGGTCAAATGTAGACTCGCTCACAACTTTAATACTACTAGTCTTGTTTTGCTCACAGGGTAGAATTTCTGCTCACAACACTGTGGAGCTTAGAGGGAACATTGCTAAATCATGCCTAGGACATGACCCTGGGAAGGCACCTGAGACCTTGCCCCCCCCCCCCCCCGCCAACATCTGCATACTCAGGACAGTGGACTTGCCTTGCCCTAGAGTTATTCCCTTCCATCTCAATGGCTAATCCTATCAATCAGATCTCATCTTTCCTCCACGTTTCCTGGATAACGGGAAGTCCGGACTTTTACTCCTTTCCCACGCCCCAAGCCCAGTTGGCTCATCAAGCAGTCTTGTTTCTGTTTCGCTTAGTTTAAATTAGCAGTCCATGAGTCCTCCAACCACCGGAGAACAAATCAGGAAGCCAGCCCAACTTGTCCTTTGCATCTAGAAGAGAATCTCCGGCCTCTTTTGTCCAGTCCTGGGAACTCTGTACAGAGTTCCCAAACTACTGTACATTGTTCTAGCCCTGACTAATCCCCTCAGTTCTTTGTACTGAGGAATCCCCAGGAGTCATTTCGTAGAAAAAGAGGTGCAGGAGCTCATTAGCATAATTCATTAGCATAATTTATTTGCATATGCCACACCCCCTGACATCATCGGAAGTGTGTCAGAAGGCAACACCCACCGCTCAGGCTTGACTGGACTCTTTTGGATTGCTAGCTATTGGGGGGAGGAACGTGCAGATCTGTCCTCACAGAGGAGGGACTTGAATAAAAAGGTCTTAAAGGTACCACTGGACTGTTTTGGACCGGGGGACCGGGTGGGCTCTGCAGCTTACCTGTCTGCTTCTTGCTCTGACTGAGGGCTGCTGGGAGCAGGGGGTGGGGCTTGTTGCATGTGCTCGCCCCCTGGGCTCTTTACTGCCAGAGCTCCGCTCCTGTGCGCTCCTGCAGGAAATGACCCCTGGGAATCCCTCACATTAGCAAGCCCTCTGGACACATTTTTGGGTATAACTAGCCCAGAACAACTCCAGGAGGTTGTTCGTGTTATCTCGGGTGCCTATTAACACGCACCCCCAGTATACTGGGTCCTTCCTCTCAGTGACATGCTGGTCATTTTGCCGTCTCTCCTTCTTCATGGACATTTCCAGGAAACATAGGTATCACCTCAGCCCTCAGTTTTATCCTGCTCCTGTCTTTATTTCCATAGATCTTGTATGTGTGTATGTTCCATGTGTGCTTCTTGTGTGGTATATTCCCTAAATACCCTTTAATAGAACATTCTCTATTTTACCTTTGGACTGGTTATTAAGAGCTCTCATAAAGGGAAAGA